TGGTTGTTGAAATTAGTCAAACTGGACCGGCTGAATGGAGTAACTCGGCCAGAATTTACCATCTCGCTAAAATGACTACGTTGAGGTAGTTAAGTGGGCACACTTTGCTTACATATCTACCTATCTCTGAAACAGAGACCTGGAAACTCTGACGAAGCAGATGCAAACTATATCGAAAATGATTATATGAAACATAATGATAACATCGTCTGTGCAACAAAACTAGTATCATTCCTGCCCAGAGAGCATAGTGATGATTTGTAAAATCTGACCAGTGCGATGTAAAACTTTGATGCCAAAACTAACATTTCCAGGCCCTGCTCAACGAAAAAGGAGCGATGGTTTCATTTTTTTTCATTTCAAACATGCGCTCTACATGGTGATAACCGTACTGCCATTAATATACGTACCATTGTGTATATACATGATTTTTATCAATGCATTTTCAAAGAACCGTTCTTCTCTTGAAGTCGCGGAACCGGCAATTCAGGTTTATCTCATTTGGGTGAGTTAAGAACGAATACGCTTAGATCTTAGATAGAGGTGTTTACTCTTTAAGTATGCTACAAGGTCTGTGCGTATCAGACAGCTAGATATCGTGTTGATTTACTAATGAGCAAGCTTCATTTTAATTGAGGCAACTATGACCTGCGATAAACCCGTAGCGAGTTTCAGGAACATCCAAGAAAACACTCGCAAAACTGGAAAAGAGTTGTTCATAGGAAAGGAAATTCTTTTTCCTTCGCTGAAAAAGAGTCGGAGGTGCCTGGTGTGGCAACGCGTTATCAGCTGAATAAAGCCATCAATATCTGTACACATATTGTTCGCGAATCCTAAATACCAACATACCGTGGGAATCATTTCAAGTTCCAAGCTACCAGCAAAATATCGGCGAATAACTTCTTGGTTGCCAACTACGTACGTAGTCACAACTCTCTTCACCTAAAGTTTTCCCTTTGCAATTCATATTTGGCACTAAGCAATGAACCTGATTATTTTTTATAAGCCGTTCTGGACCATAATTGTTCAGGCCACAGCTAGTACCAATTATGGTAAGGTCCTTGACATTTTTGGCAGCTAATGCTTTGAACAAAGTTTGTGGCATTCCACACAAACCAAAACCTATGCGATCCAATTACTTACAGTACAATAATAATAAGATAGCAATTAATTATACGAAAAATACCTCCTGTAAGGATTTTAGCACCAGAAACTACGTCATTCACCGCATCATCGGCACTGTTGAATAGCTTATGAATACATGCGGTTGAGCAGCGACGCCGTAAAACTGCAACGATCTAAAAGAAGCGAAGGATAAAAGGATTACTCACTCAACAACAGAGTAAAAGGCATGCAAGCCAAATTATATAGAATGTACAAAACTCATCACATACAGCTAATTAAAGAATCAGTAGTAAAAGTACAGCGTAAATATGCAAGAAATATTTTCACCTGCTTGAAAAGCTTCGTTTCAGCGCAAACTTCCTGCATTAAGCATTTTGTCGGTAGCGCCATTACCTGACTAAACAATCTGATATTCAATTAAACGTTAACATATAACTCCCGGCAAATAAAAAGGACAAAGACAAACCAAAACACTTTAACTAAAACTAGGGGCAAAATCTATCGCACTGCAAGCCCTAGCAGCTTCGCACATTGTACAGTAATCAGCAGTGATGGATAGGTTATACATTTAAAAAGAAGTTCCTTTAAGCGCTCCAAAACATCTGCATGCAGTTACGCAAGCGGTGCAAACGTTGATAAAACTAAATTCTGGAATTGCGCAAATACCAAGGCATCATTTCCTAAACTTTTTAGGGGATACATTTTCTACTGCTTAAATGATCTGTCGTTGTCAAAACACATTGCAGACGTAAAGAAAATAACTACATCATGGTCCATTTTGTAATCCGGAGATTAGAACATCTTATATTCCATCGAAGAAAATAGGATTACAAAAAACGAGAAATACATCAGTGAAACAGTTTCAGTCACTGTTGATATTTTTGAGTCGTAAAAGCAGATAAACCAGATAAACTCAAGAATGTTCTCAATCCTGAGCCAGCGTTTCAGAAAGAGAAGAAGATAACAGGAAACAGGGGGCAAAGTCCTTAGAGGAACTTTTAAGATCATTCTCTTCCTTCAGCGACGTCTTCAGCCGGTTTTATGAGAAAGTATTAGTCAATTCACCTACCTTTCTGGAAACATTAGAAGGACTGTCCAAACCATGACCAATGAAACTTTTCAATCTAGAGAAATAGCTGCTGAACGTCAAGGTTCTGCATTATATCTGTTCCCTTCACTGCGTCAACAATCATGAGCAAAGTGATTCGTCTCAGAACGTCAATTTCAGCTACCTGTACACTAAATGAATGTTTTACACCACTATTCACATACATACATGATCATGGAAATGAAGATCCGTTTGAGCACAGTCGCCTTAATCTTCAGACTTATCGCTGCGTTAATCACACGGTAGCAGTGTCTAAGTTATCCTAAGAAAAACTGCAACTCCAGAATTTTCTCGATAAACCTGATGCTCAAATGCGTTAGTCATCTAAGGGAGGCGCTGTTACGATAGAGCTGCGTGTAATTAATCGCTTCGATATTTATTGTATTTAAAAATTTGCTGACTCCTTAAGTGAATGATAAGGTATTAAAACAATGAATGAATTTCCAAAATGAGCATAGATTTATGGACACGAATTCACATTCAATGTCTTTTTCTCTTAGGATTATGTTTTAGAAGATATACGTGTTTACCATTAAAAAAATTTTTAAATGTACAGTAGCTACCTACTACAATTTCGAACAACAGTAACACAAGAAAGTACGTCAAAGGAGCTAGCACTCAGGTCTCATCAGGCGGGATAATTGGGAGTTTACTTGAATAAGTAGTTCAAAGGAAATCGCTGTTACTCATTGTCATTGCTATGGTAATGGCAATATCAAATCCTTAACGAGAATCTTTGAATATGATCAGCGTAGAAAGACAAGAGTCCTTAAACATTGATTCATCTTAATCATATGTGCTCTTAATCAAATAAAAAATTGCACAAATAATGACTTTGCTTCGATTCTTACTAGACTACCAGTATGAAACCCGATGGAAGCGTTAGCTAAGATTTGGTGTTTGATTTGATGTTCATTGTCAGTGATATTGATTTTTACCTCTCATTAAGGAGAATGAATCTCCGAAGTAGCTCATTTACTATCTTCCAGTGTAATAAATGTTCTATCCTGTTTGCTAATGTTCGTTAAGGGATAATAGCAATCATCATTGTATACATTAAAATAGTCTATCAGAGAAGCCGTAGTGACATCGGACGAGGAAGGGGCAGCTTAGCCATTAGTGCTAGGGCAAATTTTGCAGTTTGCTTGTTAATGGTCAAAACCTCCATTATTGTAATTGTACTTTAGGTACTAAGGGTACAAAGATATTAAACTTATGCAACGAGGAGCGAAAATCGGAATCAACTCTTGTTCAGAGAAAAGTACCCAGTCAGCAGGTCGTGCAGGCAAAGAGGCAGGTATCGCCGTTTATGGAATGATGAACAATATGTGGCTTTCAGTTCCAAAGGATTGAAAATGGTTGCAAGCTGTCGACAAATTTCTACTCTTACGCTGTGCATTGAAGCACATTTTTTTCCGGGAAGCAAATCAGCAGTAAATTAAAGTCATGGTCTGTTGAAAAGTTGAATATACTATTCGTTTAATATAATTCAGAAAAAAAACGCTCACTGAGGAAGAAATCAAATTATTTCTGTGGTATGTAAACCGACAATAAACGTGGAACAGCGTATGACCCTCAGACATTAAGTTTGTCTTCGATCACCAAAAGCATGACACCACTTTTGTTGAATAATGTTTAAATTTCCTATAGTTGCTAAGTGATTTGACAAATAAAATAACTGTTTTAATTTGTCAGCATGAAAAAATAAAGAAATTAAATCATTTTTACGTACTGAACATGGCGCATTACATATGCGACATTTGTTGAACAGAATATCGTTTACACTGTTTTGCGATTTGCTTCCCTTTGATATTCCAACTCAATTTAACAATAATTATAACATAACAAGGCCTAAAATCCTCTGTTCCAGACTCAGATATAGACCAATATTTTTTATGCTTAAGCAGCAACATATGAAAATTCCGGCTCCTAGGGTATGAGGAGCAAGAAATATCTTTCTAACAGAAAAAAGTGAGGTGTCTCTAGCCATACAGGTGCTCAAATACTCTTCGACAACTAGCAGTAAAGAAATGATGTAATACGCAATGAAATTCGCCTTTGGAGAAGTCAAGTACCGGTTACAGTATGACACGTGATTTGTAGCAAAGGTAAAAATCTACCTAGG